ATCTTCCCATATATGAATTTTACCAGAGTTTTAAGCTTTCTTGAGGAAGATGCTGGCTGAGGCACAGGTATCATTTTATTTGTTTCAGTCTGCTGTGAAGGCCCTGAACGGCATGTGGGAGAACACAAGCACAATGTGTTGAAGGGCATGTGAAGAGTGAAAGCATCGCCACTTTGCTACTTGTACAGCCTTGACTTATTATGTACAGAGGGATGCATTCAGAATTGTGACTATAATGCTAACAGGCTCGCTAAAGATAGGGGACAGATGAAAAGAAGAAAAAGTGAACACAGGAAGGAAAATTCAATAGCAGGGCAAAAATACAGTAAGCGGTTTGAAAAGAGCTTTGCGCCTCTCCGTGGGGCATGCATATGTGGGTGAAATGTCTACAGTCAGAAAGTGTTTCTATATAATTAAAATATTTTCAGATTTTCCATGTCTTCTAAACGACCAAAAATGTCAAGATTTCATCTATTCAATGCATTCAGTGGCACATGCACACACAAAAGGAAAAGAAGTTAGCAAAGGCCTGATGCTAAAACATATTCAATATTTGCTAAAAGGAGTTCAGTGACACAGGACTGGGTCACATCAAAACGGACTGATACCAATGCTGACTGCAATATCATCTATGAAGACTAATTCTGTAATCAGTTAAGTTGGTCTACATTTGTATCACCATAAGTGATGAATAGAATTCATTGCACTATTCTCAGCTAAAGCTGGAGTGACAGCTCCAGGTGTCAGTATCAAAGACAGTATCAAAAACATCTGCATCAAAAATGAATTGATACACACAGAAAGGCAGAGGTAAAAACTGACTGCAATACCTAGACTGACATGAAGAACTGACTTAGAGACCACTCTCACCGATCCTAAAACAGATGAGCCATCCAACCCTACCTATATCAAGCAGTGACTCCAAAACCACCTTTTCAAGAACTTTTCCCAACCCCTCATCCTAGCTTAAACTATCACAAGTAACCTCCTTGCAGTTGAAAAAAAAAAAGTCTATGAAACGTATGAAATGTAAGGATGAAAAGGTCCTTACATTCCCAAAGGAGTGGAGAGGTAACCAGCCAACTTTCACAAGTCTTTCTGTGGTAGGTCAGTATTACGGTCTCTACATGTCTCCATGACTCACTAGTCTGAAGGCATGTGGCAGAGTCCAATGTGACACATAATGACAGGCACAAGAAAGAATTCACAAACTAACTGCCACCATCCGATTCTGTGAGAAGGGGAAAGGTGGGCTCATTCTCATGACTGTGACTGACATCTACTCAGACTCCATCTACTCAGTGTGGATTATGAAAAATTATACTACTGACTCCAAGAAGTCTTCTAAGTAAAGTGTTCAATTTCTGCAGTAGCAAACAGCCTTCTTTTCACATTGAAAAAAATCACTTTTATCTTCTAAAAGCCTTTTGCCTAGTAAAAAAAAAAAAAAAAGCTCTGAAGTGACACAAGTAAGCAAGCGAAAGCAGAAACTCACATGACTGACATGCAGAACTCTGTTAAAGGCAAATACAGATCTTGATTTTCACTAAACTTACGTCCAGCTAAGCCATATTTGTCTCAGAGGGTTGGATGCAAGGATTTGTAGCAGAAATTACAAAAAGGTATGGAAATGGAAAGAACCTTGTTTACATCCTCGTCTGTCCTATTGTTTTGGGGGGGAACCTGTATCCTTAATTCTTTTGTCACAACTTTTTTTTATTTAAATCTTCCAGAAATCCAGCAGCCCAGTAAGACTAGAAGCTGCAATGGAGCCCCAGAAATATTTTCAGGAGGCAGACAGTATTTCTGGGAGGGACTTCATCTGACCCCGAGATGGAAAAGATCTTATTTCTTCCCATCGATGATAAAAGGCTGTTAGACAACTAGCTCAGAGGGAAGTCAATGCCGACCGCCAAATTCTGGAAAGATGAATCTTACCCTGCCATCATGACTGAAAATCCATTAGTCTCCAGTAAAACTGGTAACATGGTAAGAAGATCCTCTCTTCCTCCACTGTCCTTCAATCCAAAGATAATTAGACCACTAGCAAGTATCTTGCATATATGTGTGTGTGTGTGTCTATATTCATAGGCACACACATAATCGCTCTTCACTCTCATCTTTACTATGGGAAATTCTGCTTCCTTTCAAATAAAACAGAAAAAATCTGGGAAAAAAGGCTAAATTGAGATTATGTGTACAAATATTCTCATGACTTCTTTTCCTTTATGCATTTCCTTTACATTTATTTGACTTCTCTCCTCAAAATTTTCCTTACTATCTTATTATATTTATCATCTTCACTTTCTGTGATTTTCTCCTCAGTGGGCTGGTTTTCAATTCAGTTTCTTCAGACTGAATTCAATTCAGTTTCTTCCTTTACCTTTTTGGCCTGCCTTGTCCTTTTTATTTTTCTTTGAGCAAAAATTTCCCAGTACCCTTCATCAAGATGCTGACAGTCCTATCTCTCCCAGTCCTATTCCCATCTGTTACAGCTGTCTAGAAGAAAGTAGGTAAGGCTTAGTCATCCCAAATCTATGACACGATCTACGCTGCTTAATCACTCTTCTAAGTGGTGTCAGAGATCTGTATGCCTCTGTGCCATTTAATGTTTGTATGAAACATGTTTTACAGAATGATGTATAGAATATTCCATGAATGGATCAGAGAGAAAGTGACCTTCATTAAGGCAAAGAGATATTGAATAGCCAGTCAACTACAGGAGATGATACTTTGATTTAATGTAGACCACACATTTCAGTTAAATGAGTCTTTGCTCTACCAGTTTCCAGACTACCTTAATAAGTGTGAGGGGAAAAGAAGTACATACATTTTGAGGGTAAAGACTAAACCTTTTCAAGACTCTCTGAGAGACTTCCTAAAGGAAATCACCTGGTTAAGCTAATGTGTTCTGCCAGGAATAGGTCCCCTTTAATGGATGTAACCTGAAACATAAGACATGTAAGGATAAAAGAATTCCTTAGAAGATATGCATCAGGAAAGCATTTGGAGCAAGGCTGCAAGAAAAAGGGAGACAGAGACCTTTCTGATTTAATCTTCGTGCAAGTTCTTCAATTATGCTTGAAGAAATATTTATTTCCATGTAGTCCATTTGGTCATTAAGTAGTTACTGATTGTATTTGCATTTTATCCTAGGGCATTCTTCCCTAGAAATGTAACCTGAGGCACCGGTAAATCTTAAGTGCTGTAGGAAAGGAACAGGTGTCTTGAAATGACATGGTAAGGAGGAAAGCACTCTGACATGTAGAAAGATAATAGGAAGCACACCTAAACCAGGAGACTCCCACGAATGTTTTGTAACAGTGTCCCAATAATCTCTTTTCACCACAGTCCTCCTCCAGCTTCATGTACCCCTGTTCGCAGATTCTTCCCAACCTCCCATGACTTTCTAGCAACGTCTGTATGTCTAGCAATGTCTGCACCTGGAAACAGTGATGATGTGACTCCCTGAAAATTTCAGAAGATAACTTCTCCCACTGTGATAACTTTTTCCATTACTGAAAAATCTGAATCTATTCTTTCACTGGATAGTTCCTCTGCAAAGAGTAATGACATCCCTTCACAAAGACAAAACACCACATCTAGTGGCAAACAAGGGTATGAGAAACTAACGTGTGCATGCTTCATGCCTATCTATAGCAACTTAGCTTGAGCAGTAATTCAGCTAGGGAACTGGCAAAGATATAGATATACCTACATACAGATAAATCCAGAAAACGACAGTCTTACCCTTCAGAAAGGATTTAGAAGAAATAAAGAAACAGCAGCTGTATCCTGCCTGTACATATGTGTCAGCACAGATATCTCACGGGCCACTGTTTTCTGCCATAGAGAATAGAAGCCTTCACACAGTTCAATGAGAAAAGTCCAGTGAAGATGCTTCTACCTTGCTTGCTCTTTAGAGAAAACACACGTGTTCGAGAACTTGAGTAATTTAAAATCCAAATGTAATCAAACCTTCAGTGTTGATGGCAATGTGCTTAGCATGACAGAATTATTGATTTCCAATATATGTTTTCCATTAGAGAAAGAGCTGTTGTTTTTTCTTAAGATGAAAATAAGCTTTGAAAGTTATTAAGCTTGCATTAATAGAAATAGAAATGGACTCAGCATCAAGAGAGGAGAATACTTTCCTCAGGTACAATGAGTGTTAACTTAGAAGTTTAATGAGCCAGTGCAATAATTTGCTGAATTCAAGAAAGGCATGTGGTATCCAGCTGGCCAAGAGTGATTTTGACTCTGTGCCACCACAAATGTAGAATTTAATGTCATTTAATGTTTGTGGAACTGGACTAAAACATGAATAAAAAATTCATGCCAATCTTGTGCAAAATAGTTGCTTGGTTTCAGGTTTTTTAATTGTTTTTAGTGATTTTGACTCTGTGCCACCACAAATGTAGAATTTAATGTCATTTAATGTTTGTGGAACTGGACTAAAACATGAATAAAAAATTCATGCCAATCTTGTGCAAAATAGTTGCTTGGTTTCAGGTTTTTTAATTGTTTTTCACATCTTGCAGCTGACAATCAGACAACTTTCCCAATGATAGAACTTGGCCTTATATCCTGCCCATTCTGGCCCTGACTGAATGACTGCTGAGATGATGAATTGCTGATCTAATTTCTGACTTTCTGCTATAAATGAACTGTAATAGGGATTTGGTAATTGGGAGTAGAGGTTCTTTTACTTCAAGAGAGAAGGAAAATGTGCCTGGCACTACAAAGAATATCATTTGATTAAAAGAATGAAAGCACTGTAGAAGAAACTTCCAGAATGGCTAGTAAATCAGGACCATCAAGTCATAAATCAGATCTGCTTTTTTGCTTTTGGGTTTCATTTTTTAGAGAGTTCTAATTTGTGAAAATAAAAGAAAAAAAAGGATATAAAGTTCACACTGGAACATATTCTGTCTTTTCATACTTAGAATATGAAATAATTTTAAAATTATACCTTTTAATGTTGTCTTAATGTATTGTCATATGAGAGAAGTGGTCCACAATTTGGCCCCCTCATAAGCCAGAGGTCCCTATTAATTTGCACAGACTATGACTTTCAGTTTGTCCTCTTCATTTCCACAGAACTGAAAAAGAAAGGAATATCATCTTTCCCACTGGGTGATACATAGCCTCCATGAATACATCTTTCATACGTCTTTTCTCTGTTTACCAAATGCATAACAACTTATAGATGAAAACAACTTTGCATTTCAGCATAATTACTAGAAATATGCTCTAACACTATTTACTATTAAAATATTGTGAGACAGTAAAAGGATGCACTTACCAGGAGCTTAAGTTTGTAGATGGAGAAATGTCTTTGATCCCTGTTACATGGGCCAGGTGGATCAGGATGCCTTATTTTTTGGGCATCCAAGGACATCACATGCAACAGAAGCCGTTAGTGAAGACTGGGAGATGGTTCCATGTCTGGTGGCTTTCTCTGTGAGACTATCTTGAAAATGAAGAGATTTCTTTTGCTTTTTTATCACCATCTTGCAGAAAGTGCAGATGCAACTACTGGCAGAATTTCTCTTTGAGAGTACTATGAAGTTAATGAGAGTGAACCTGGAATGTGTTTTATTTTGTTTCTGGCTTCCTGTCTTTTAGGTTTACTTAAATCCTAATCTAATCAACTCCCAGAAGCAGACAACAGCAATGGAAAAAAGAAAAAAAAAATAAAAAAAGCAATAACACCTCTTGTTTTATTAGGAGTTTTCTGTTCTGCTTATTTATATACATCCCCTAAATTTCTTCATTAGAAATCAACCAATTAAAGATGGGTTGCTTAAAACCAGAGATGCTTTAGTGACATACTTCCTTTGAATATGACATTTTTGGATGTTCTGAACAACTATTCGCACAGAAAGATCTCTCCTTTATCATTCCATAGGTCTGTGTTGACCACGTCCACCAAATAAAATGTCTTGAGTACAGATTAACTGTGGAAAGAGAAATCTGAGGCAGAAAACAATCATATAAATATGATCATATTACTGCATCTACAGAACTATCCCCTTGTTGGCTGTTCAATAAGCACCATCACAGTTAGGATTACACTATCAAATCCAGTACAGAGAGGAACTTCTTCCTTTGAAAATACTTACCTGCTGCCCTCATCAGCATGATGCCCACAGCCATGCACAGGCACCGATGCCCACTTCATTTCTTTTCCATTTTCATGTTGTATTTCTCTGTTAACTTCACCTGGAAAGTTTGTGTGTTGAAGTGATTGACAGCTAAACCCCTTAAAGTTACATGTTTGGCAATAGGTATCTGTTTCAAGCTTGATTTAGGATCTTGATAGATTCAGAATCACAGCAAGTCAATGAGAAAAGGGTTCTATAATCACAAAGCCACTTTTTAAAATTTAAGAAGTTTGTTCTTCCAGCAAATTCTTCAATGTCTTTGGTGTATAGCCAGTAAAACAAAGTGGAGAAATACAAATATTTATAATTCATCACTACGTGAAAAATGTCATAAACAAGCATAAGTCAGACATTTCTGCATTTTATTTTGCTTGGAAAAAAATGTAGAGTAGCTGACCAAATTTAATTAGTCTAAAGCAAAGGACTGAAAATTGAAATTTCAGCGTGTAGGCAGAATGGCAAACACACTGTGGAAAGTGTAAGGGCTCCTGCACGTTGCACAGACCCTTTGACCTGAAATCATGTCTAATGAAAGTGTGTTGACACAATTCGCCCACTGACCACGCGGCGAAAGGCTGCCGTGCGCCGCTACAGCCTTCCCATGACAGGTAAATTGCTTTTCTCGTCCTTCCCCCACAGCTTTCCTGTCATACTGGGGCTTGTGCAAGAATTTCAGTTTTCCTGAAGGCTTGCAGGCAAGTAAATAGCAATAAATTAAAACTGTCAAGAGCAGAGCCAGTCGTAAGTGCGGGCGGCTGCCCACAGCATGAGCCCCAAGACCTTCTTGGGTCCTTGCAGGCTTGCAGACATTCCCGCTGAACGAAATCAATGACTGCAGGGAATAAAACCAAACCGACGCAAAAAGCATGAAAAATGTATGGAGAAATAAATACAGATATATAAAAAGTGAAGAGAAGGGAAAATCATGTAAAGAAATGAAAGCTAAAAGGAGTGGGAGGATCAAACAGAAAACTGCAAAACGGCAAGTGACCCAAAGAACACAGCAGTGCACTTTGCAATTAGGTTAAAGTGTTACAAGTGTTTTATGGTGCCAAGGAACTTAGAGCTGGCTGGATGCACAACAGCCTCTGAAATAAAATGGTTTCGGCGGCACCCCAGAGCCATGTCCTTAGGGCCCCAATGAGCATGTCTCCTTTTAAAAGCAAGAGAAAATGAAAATACATAAATATATGCAATATCATAACTCAGGAGTAAAATTGCTGCTACCTGCTATACCATTTGGCGCCTACAAAAGGTGAAAAAATCCCAACATTTTTGGACTGCAGATGAATTTCAAAGAGTCACAATATCTTTGTTATATTTGTTATATAAATTGAATAAAAAGGCATTTTTTCAGACAATCCTCTCCTCAACCCAAAAAAAAGGCTTGCCTGATCTTGTTCTCTCAACAATCCCTTGCTCGCTTGCATCCTTAGACCGTAGATCAATGCAATAACATTATTACTGCTGCTATTTAAAATGTCCACATCGAAGCACATGGAACCTAAAAAGGGATGCATGTACATACAGGTTTTTTTTATAACTAACCATATTTCTGCAAGATGCTTAATGGCACCTCTTTCCTTAAGATATTATGTAGCTAAGCCTTTCTGCTCTCTGTTTGCTATGTAACCATTCACGTTTGCAGCTTCATTGCAAGATGAAAATAAATAAGCATTTACATTGTCCATTGTGTTGCAATGAGAAAACATCAGGCAAGGGTAAATGCAAGGTTAAGAAAATCTCAAGAGAACCAGTTTTTCTTTACAGATGTCCTGAGCTTTTCCCTTATTATTAAGAGCAAGGAGTCCAACTGAGCAGAATTTTGCAGTCTCCACACTTGAAGTTTCATGGGCTTATTCAGAGTAATCCAGAACTTCTGTTTGGCTATATTTATTCTTATGGACACAAAGAAAGCTGGCCACAAAAATATGTGAAAGCAGGAAAACATATATACCATGCATGACTAAAATTACATCATGACCTGCAATTTCATACAGTCTTACATAATATTGGCCAAGACATCACTGAGAGGCCAGAGAATATGGTCTAGCACAGTCAAATTAGAATCAGTTGTTCTAATGTGACCTTGCAATTCACGTTTTACACAAACAATATCCATTTGATGGCGTCAGTGCAATAAAAAACTAATGAAATCAATTTTTTTTTCAGTATAAATCTCTATATTCGTGTTTACTTTTGTCAGCGAAGAGCTTTTGCGAATTCTAAAACATGCTTTTAAGAGTCCCAAAGGGTAACTAACTAACACCACTCATTCTAAATATGCCAGCACATCCAGAAGGAGCTACATGGTGGTCGGTATTTCTTTAATACCCAATCAAAAGACAAACAGGAATTTGCTAACAAGAGTTTCCCTACCATCCTATTGCTATGTTTACACCATTGCACAGACAAAATCACGTTGCCATTATATCATCCCAGGATTAAGCTGGCTTAAGTCACCATAAGCCCTTTAGGGAGCAATTTGAGCCTATCCAAAGTACCAGCAACTTTTTGTTTCAGCCCAATTAAATGTCTGGTGCTTGGGAACTCTTGTACTTTGATTTGGCGAATAGCCACACCACCAAGCTACCTTGCTCATGTACGGTGCCAGGCACCAGGAAGCAAAAAAAAATCCATTTCTTACTGTTTAGTTTCATAGGAGATATTATAAAAAGAAGTTTAAAGCTGCATTTCTTTCTCCACCCCTGCATAACTGGGATTGACCAAGGGAAATGTTGCTGTTTTATGCAAAAGATGTGCAGTGCATCGCAAAGTGCATAAGCAGGAAGGTGTTTTATGGAGAAACAAAGTCACACATCCTTCTCATCACAGACAATTCTCCACCAGATGTTATCGCTGCAACTGCACTGAAATAATTTGAAATGCACAAGGGAACAAAAGCAAAAAAAATGGCCTGTGCACTGGGTCATACATTTACTTCAGCTCCAAAATGAGGTGAAAAGCACAATCTCTCTCCTAGAGTCTTCAACAGAAACTTCATCACACTCACCTAGCTGAAATGTAACTTAGGTTGATGGTGCCACCTGGTGACAAGTTGCACCTGCTGTTCCCAAACCCTGTCAAGCAAGGAGAAACACAGAGGCTATAAATCTTCCCCTGGAGAATAATCCCCCACACACCTAAAAAGTGCATTAGCTCCAATAATTACTAACCCTAAAGAGCACAGGGGGTTGTACATATAGGATGAGAAAGAAAGGAAGAAAGAAAATAATTTTTAGCAGGCTTTGTTTTAGGAACTAGCAGTTTGAGTTATTAGGTTGTGAAGAGATGTATTTAATATTTCATGAAGGGAAAAGGGAGAAAACGACAGTGATTTATTTGAGTCTTCAGGCATGGGAGTGGGGAGTCTACCTTAAAAACTTCATGTTCTCTGCAGCAGTGTGTGAGACTATAGCACCACTCAACAGGATTTCCCTGTGACTACTATCCCTAAATGAAAATGAGCCTTTGGACAACATGCTTTAGAGCCTTCTCTTTGCTCCTTCCCTGTCAGTAATATCTTGCAAGAGAAATTAATTCCAAACCCATAAATTGCCACGTGGGTCTCTTGGTGGTGCAACACAACCATGAAAATCTAAAAGTGGAGGGTCCCCATGTGGGAGGTTGGCTCTCGACTCATTTTCCCCCAGGTAAATGAGGATTTATACTATATATATATGCAGTTTGTGGTGAAACCAGCACCTGGGCCAAGGATGGTAGTAAGTGGGGCCACGCAGAGCCAGGCTTTGGAGAGCGGGGCTGGAAATGCTGCTCAGATGAAGGGGACATGAGTCTTGGCCAAGATTTGGGTTATGGATCAGAGCGAGGATTTCTTTGCAGCTTTGTTCATAGGCAATCATTGCACAGCCATGATCTTAATCCCATCATGATAAAACCTACAGGTGAAATCAGTCATTTAGAAGTCTCAGAGCAAGCTTTACTTCTACCCAGCTACTACTGTATCCTATTTAATACTTAAAGTGGCAAAGCTACACCGCTGCAGCAGCATTTTGTAAGGAAACAAGAAAACACTAGACAACTTCAACTGTATTAATGATATTTGTGTTATTGAATACAGAAAACCTGTATTTCCCATTCATCCACAAGACCCTTTTTAGAGTGGGATCTCCTTTCCATGGATTTCCATTAAGGACCCCTTTAATTTAATGATAGAGGAATATCTCAGCTGAATTATGGGCATTCTTCTTTCGGTAGCCTCTTCCATATAATTCGGTCACATCCTCCAAATGCAAATTATGCAAGTATCTATATGCTTAATTTGTATGAGTATTTAGCTAAACTG